TCTTAAAACAACAATAATACACATTTCTGGGAACCCAGAGGGTTACAACACTATGAACACTATGCTGGTTCAAAATATTACTTTGCACAACCTTTTTCTATCATTTGAACTTTGGGGTTACATTTTTCTTGAGGACAATTAAGAATGGAATATTTTTAATTAAGTATTCCACAAGACAACTTCCATAGAACCAACACATCGCGTGGTAGCTCCATCGAATCTGACAAACTGCAATGTGCTCCCTTAGGAAAAATATACCCACCTCTTGACCTTGAAACATTCTTTTTTATTTCACCCTGCATTAATTTAATAGTCTTCAAAACAGTCCCCTACCTTCAATTTTGCGCTTTTCAAAGCCAATTTTAACACTTCAAGAGGAGAAAGTTCACACTTCAGCCGACTCAACCCAAAGCCCACAAGAGCTGTTAGGTTAGTTATTTTCCAAACAACTACCCTTGAATTCGTCACACAGTATCAGCTTAAACACAGACTAAGTGATGTGTGATTTATTTTTTAAGCCGATGGGTTTTGCTTTTGGTAGGGTTTATAAAAACTCTGCTGCTTATTGATGAGGCCAGTTTGAATGACTTTAAAGTGATAAGATTTCTGAAAGAAATGAATTATTTGGCACACAAAACATGAGCCCGCACAGATAAGGAACACTGAGGATGAACACACCTCAGGCATTCTTTAGATGTACACTTTTGCCCACTTGTGCACGTATTTTAGAGAATTTTTAATCGTTCATGAAATTAAAATTGAAAATGAGACAACAAAACTTAAGCCTTTGCTCTCACTCGCCCTGTCACTAAGGTCATGACTTGTGACTGCCACATATTGTTCAAACATTTTATCTGCTCTTAATTAAGCATGAGGGCTAAAAAATCACAGCACCTGCGCTGACTGTGGAAGAAAAAAGTGATTTAGTCCTCGTTACAATTTTCTGGCCTTCTATTCCTATTCTATTCCTAGAGACCTCCAAATACTGTTTGATAACACATCCAACAAATCACAATCCATCTGTTTCTGTGTCTCCCCTCTGTAGTGTGAACCAATATGAATCTTTGACTTTCTTACATAATCTGATCATTTTTTCCCACATTCATTTTTTGCTTCTAAAGGACCTCTTACTTCTGTTACTTTTTTAATATACAGCCGTCTTTATACCATTTGTAATTCAAGAGTAGAAAGCCCCAATTAAAACACTATTTATTTTATTTACTTTTGTCAAGTTTTTTAGGTGTAACATTTGCCAAAATGTTCCTTTACTGTTTACTTAGATGATGTGCAAACAATGCTTAATGCACAAACAGATAATCCAGGTATAGTTAAAGATGGGAATCATGGTGTTTAAGGTGAACCGGACCAGGGTGCAATGCCTGAATCAAAGGAGTATGAAAGTGTGGATGTGGAAAGAAAAATTGGAGAACCAGGACTCACAAATGAATGGAGCAAAACTCCTAAGTATAAATAAATGAGAAGACAATTCTGTCTCATCTTCATAATGCAGTTTATATTAGTCACCAAAGTGACTTTGTGAATCTGTGGAACTGAACCTTCCCCGTGGTTTGCCTGAACATTCAAATGATGTCATGGTCATTTTAAAAATACATTGACCATTATTTCCCTTTTTTAGTTTGTGAGCCATTTCCACAGAAAAACACAAAGTTCAAAAGTCATAAATCCACTCTGAACTTATGTCTGTGAGTCAAATCATTATGTTGTGATTTAAAACCAAATATAGAGCAAATAAATAAAAAACACTTTAATGCCAAAATATGCATCTATTAAAATAAACTTGATAGACTGTACTGAGATGAAGTTAATTATGTTTTGCAACGGCAAGTTTTTAAAGCCTATAAACATTCGAAAATAGAGACAGAGTTGAGCTTTGAGACTTCAAACCCATGAGTCCTTTCTAGGACTAATTAGTTTGGCTTTGTGACTAAGTATATGGACCTGATGGTGGTTTTTATGCACGTGAAGCCAACATGAGTGTTTCCCTGTTGTCACACAGAGAAAACTGCATGCATCACCTCGTTCACAGCCAACACACAGACCCAGTGGAATTCAAAGAGAGGGATGAGGAAACCAGTCTCACATGCTGTTTAAATGATGTTTTGATAAATAATGCAGACCACATGCTTCACATGTAATCTGACATTGGCTGCATCAATCAAACTCTTGTTGTTGTTCTCAGCTGGTGGAAAGGGAATGAATTCATCATACTTATTTGTCACTGCTGCCAGCGTCCTCCTCAGTCAGCCTATCAGGTTTCATCATCAACCTAATTTGTAAAAAGGTTCAAGATGTCTTGTGATGGTCCTTTTCAAGACTTGATGCATGAGCTTGCTTGGAAGCTACTTTATATGCTGTCATTGAGCCATAAGCGGGGAGGGCGCAATAACTGGGTCAATCAACATTGTGAAGGTGGACCATTTAAAAGCATACCAATGAAATGGGTGTCTTCCATCAGTTGAAACTGATAAAATTAACAAAAAGAACCTTAGGAAAAGTATTCGGCAAGTTGGGCAGGAAAAAAAAGTAGTGTTCATATATGTCAGTGACTTTTGTCAAAATTGTGGATTAGGAGATTAAGTTAAAATTCTCACACACCGTTAAACCTCTCCAATGCAAATGAGGATAGGGATAGAATAGGACTACAATATTCTAAACTAAAGCTTGGTTCCATCATGCAGACGTGTTTTACTTTATTTTACTGGCTCACTGTCCTTAAATCAAATTCAGCTGCAGCCACTGACAAATGTGATCAGAATGATGATAGTTGTTTGAAGACGTGATGTGGGCATGCATCTCACGTACTCTCCAGGGGTTTTTATTAACGCCCACACTAGCAATGCAATAAGCATGCCTTGGTTATTCTTGTTATTTTTTTATCATGTTTTTGCTGATAAATGTTTTACATAGTTACAACAAATGCCTTTCCCCAGAAAGTATAGCAGTTGCACCCAAAAAGGGATTGAAACATTTTCTGTAGAGTCACCCAACTTTTTATTTTCTTCTTTAACAGTTATGCAAATTCTTACACCAGATTCTTGTTTCATTGGCCTATAAGAAATAAATATCGATAGTGTTATTATATCTACCTGCATGTGCTTTTGACTTTTCATGACTGTTCAAATACACGCAACCAAAGTTCAGAATGAAGTTTCCTGCACCTCCACTATTCATCCGGTGAGGTCTAATGTCCCTTATCAACAATTATCCACAATGATCCACGGCCCAGCCCTATTTCTAGGTGTTGTCCAAGACTTGCACCTCCACATAGTAATTCAAGGTGACTACTAATGGAAACAACATTTCTGGCTGTTACTTTGTGTGTTGCCTACAGGAGATAAAGTGTGTGTGTGTGTGTGTGTGTGTAGGAGGGAGGGAAGGGGGGGATACGTTAACTATCTAAGCTCAGCAAAATCCCTGCTGTTACTATTAGCAACCAGCAGAACAGGACCCCTCATACTACCTGGGGAAAAAGTATGCTTGTTAAAGAGACAAAAACGGGAGGGAGGGAGGGAGGAAGGAAGGAAGGGAGGGTGAGTGGATATGTTAGTGGAGGAAAGGGTGCATAGTGAGGAGTAAAGATAGTACTTGAAGAGTTGGTTGTGAAAGCAAGAAGAGATTGAGGAGCAGGCAAGTGTTGTGTACTGGTGCTGTGCACACCTCAGAAGCTGTGAACAATAAAGAGAAAATCTGATGGGATAAATAAGCCCAGTTTGTCCTGGGGGGGCTTCCTTTGATATTACAATACAGCATGCACGGTCGGCAATGAGATATGGCACGACAAGCGCAAAATCTGTGCTCAGCTTCTATCTGTAATGTTAAACAGGCTAGAAATCTGTTATCATAGAGATTATACAGCTGAGTGTGTTATGTACTCAGCCTATAATCACCTGAGTTACATTTATAGGATTTAGAAGGGAAAGGGATAGAAAAAAACAGATCTGTACATTTATTTTTTATAGATCTCGTAATTGTAATTACTGTAGAAAAACAGATCAGACAGCTGCGGCTGATTCAAAATGCTGCTGCTCGGGTCGTATCTCTCCAGTCTAGACATTTCAACAAAATCCGTCTCAGATCTTCTCTTTTATTATGAACCTCCGAACATTTTCCATAGGAACAAAAAGGTAATTTCAGCTGTTTAAGACATACAATTCTAAGAATGTTTTTCTTGAGTGGGAATGGATAAATAATTTCATCTGTTATGCCAACAAGCATAGAACACAGCAAGCAAAGAACAAGATGTTCTGTGTTTCTGAAAATAAGATGCACTGTTTTAATGGAATGAAAATCACATCATTCGGATATGAGAAGGCCACCTATAAGTTTTAATTTCTCGGAACAAATGCCAAAAAGAAAAATTAAATGTCTTTTTTTGTTTTTTATTAGCAAAAAATTCCAGTAGGGTTACACCTGATGATGAAACATTGTCACTTTGGTGTTTGTGAGTATCCGTAACTGCAATTTCAACCACTGTGTCTGTGCTCCTCAGGTGACAAAATCAGGGTCCAACTCTGCAAGACTTCATTAATACAAACTCAGTTCCAATTCCCTCTTCAGTCTGAGGGAGAAAATCTAAACATTCCAGGAGGGAAGAATTCTATCTGAAGTGTGTTAGCATCACAGTTTGAAAAATGATGAGAAGAAAAAATGGTGAGTTTCTTTGTAATTGTTTTTTTTTTGTTTTCAATCTCTGTGTGATAATCTTTTTGTCACACACACGCACAGACGTAAAGTCTTACCTGCAGTATTTGGCAGCGGTCTGAGGTGCAGTCGATGTTCTCACAGGGCTGGTACATGCCCAGCGTCACACAGTTGAGCAGGATCACCATGATGCTGATCCTCTCAAACCACGTGCTGACAGAGCTGGGGTTAAGGAGCAATGCAGCCAGGCAGAAATGAACAGAAATGTGTTTTCCAATCGGATTGAAAGGGTAAAAAAAAACTACAAAGTTAAATAAGCTTAAAACAAAAAACAAATAGGAATATGACTGTACATAAGTCTCACAGGATTTGATGTTTGAGAAGCTGCATAATGTTTGCATAAACATAAAATACAGAGATGTAATCTCAAAGATTACCACCTTTTGCAAAAAAACATGTATTCCAAGTAAAGTAAACATATTTCACTGTCTGCATTACTGACTCATTCATATCACACAAAGTACACATCACAGTATTAGTGCCAAGAGATCATGCATCTGCCACTTAGCTCAGAGCAAATTATAAACAACAATGGCACCCCACCCCACCGCCATCCCCCCAAGCCAGTCTGCACTTGCTGTTTGATTGTATGAGTCACAAACTCAAGCCCAGTTGTGAGCAATTGTGTGTGTGTGTGTAAAAGTCTATTTGTCTTAAATGATGAATCACTGGACAGTATAGAATGCAGACCTCACAAATTGTGGAAATACATCTAAACCACACAATGAACGACAACAAAACAAAAGCCAGATATAGTAAGGAACTGAAAAACAAGTACAACAATTCTATTCACACAAAGCTTCCAAAGACCTGGATACAATATGAGAAAAATTAAACACAGCAGTAGAACTAGCAGGCACTGTGGAGGCTGGTGTGTGTGTGTGTGTGGAGGGGGGTAAGGTTGTTTTGCAGCTGCACGACCTGGATAAGAGACCATGCGTCTAACAGCTGAAGTTAGTCTTAAATTGTATCATGTGACATATCAGTGAAAGCAAACTAAAAAAAACAAAAAGAAAAAAAAAAACGGAATGTTTTTTGTTCTCGTGGACTTATTTGCAAAGTCAACTTTGCAAATAAGTTTTGTATCAAAACATGAACTACAGACACTTTTTTTTATAAGTTCTGAAATATTAACAGACAAGCCTGTTAACAACCCGTTGTGCAACATCTAAATAGCTTACCCCTAAATAAAGCTGCACAGAGGTATGGTGGAAATGTAACTGTATAGATTTGAGGTTTAAAGAGGGAAAAAACAGAAATAATGGATATGGAGTGCTTTCATGTAGCTGGCAGACATTCAAGAAAAATTCCGACATCAGCACACAAACACTCTCTCTATATATATTGCTCCCCTTTACCCAGAGACTTTATTGTTGAATATATTTTTGCAGCATTTCACCAGTATGCCTCTCTTTATCTGAAGAAAAAAGACATTCTAAGGAACAAACATGCGAGTCATAAGCCTCTGTGCAGTTTTTGGGTTTGCAGTGAAATGGCTAGAAATTACATCAAAACCTTACATCTGTTCGTCAGATTTTCTCCTCATTTGAATAACAATATATTTGTTTAAACTGGGGGTATACAATTCCTTTTGGGTCACAGTGTGTTTTCCCTTTTCACTTAATATCACTTCAACTCCCCCAGCTCTCAGCATCACTCCCTCACTTTCCTCTCTTTTTTTTCTTCTGAAGCGCTTGTTTTTCATTCCCAGGAAATGATGGACAATTTTGCCCTCGCAGCACAAACAAGTGCAAACACTTTAGGACACATTATACTTCAACAAGCAATGAAAAATCAATCAGTGTGCGCTTATGTTTATGTGTGAGTATAGCAACCCGCACAGCGAGAGCCCGCCTCGAGGTCCTGTGTTTGCAAAGCCCGAGCCAAAAACAGAGGCTTGGCTTGAACTCACAGAGAAAGAGAGAGAGACAGGGGGGGGGGGGGTGTGAGGGATGGAGTAAGACAGACAGAATAAAAGAAAACAGAAGAATAGGTGCCATTTAAAAAGCAAAGAAGGATTGTTTGGGATTTACAGTCGCTTTACATAAAGTCCCGACAAAGACAAACGTCTGTAACCCGAACCAGGCTCAAAGCCCACTTTCACACCCCAAATTACTCCTCACCTGCAACTCCTAAAAGTTAGCGGCACAAACAGCGTCTGCGCCGTCAGGCCGAGTGACTCGGTTGTGGCTTGCGTTCAGTTTCTTTGTCACACTGACCCCCCCCCAAAACCTTTCCCTCCCCGGGGAGCCAACCAGCAGGCGGCTGACTCACGCCCAGCTGATTCCAGCGCTCTCGCCGATGCACGGTCATGTCACTCCCTAATCATGTCGAGCGGGGGCTAACCGAGTCCGACATTAAGGATGCTTTGAGGAGAAAGAACAGGGAGACATGCTGCTACTGAGGCTCGGTATTTAATTTGATTGGTCTTTTAAAGCTATTTCTCTGAAAAATGTTATCCACCCAGAGAGCATCCACCAGCGACTCAAGATGTTCTGCTGTGTGTTTCGCTCTCTTTAGCGTCACATCTTGCTTCCCCTCTCCCCTCGCTATGTCTAATCTTCTTAGGATGCAGACAGGGCCTACTCTCTGTCTTTAGTCCTTTCTCATCTTTTTCCTCCTCTTCTTCTCCGTGTCTCTACCTATTTCGACGCCTGTCTTTCTGCGTCAGTGCAGATTTTTGTCACATCCTTGCCTTCTTTCAACCTATTTTGTCTCTCGTTTTCTGACTTCATCCAGCTTACCATCGTCCTTTTGACGTAACATTTCAGAATATTCACTTTATGGCTCCGCTTCTCTTTCAGTCCGTCTTTGCAAAGCACAAAAAAAACAACAACAATCAAAGAACGCACACACAAACCTTGAGGACAGAGGATGACAGAAAGAGGGGAACTGGTGGGCTCCAGTGCACAATTTATTACCTCAGAGCAGTTTTTTTATTTGTCTCTATGAAAATGATGCACGCCCTGATGACCACAGCATCCAAACATTTTACAACGTTGTCTACGAGCTGGCACTGAAGTTCTTCAAGGACCCATTCAGTGATTAAAAGTGTTTGCAGTTTAAAAAAAATCTAATTGAAATATAAATCTTAGAGCAATAAAAATTAATGTGATGTCCTGGAACATCAAAATAAAGCAGTCACCAAATAAAGCACAACCACATGGCTCTGTTGTCATACGGACTTCACACAGGTATACATTAAACATCTCTGGAGGAGAAATGGAATCGCGTCCCAGTCCCTATGAAAAAAATCGAGGATTGAAAAGCTTTACACTTCAGGACATCTATACAGCCACAACAGATTCAAGGCGGGTAATGTCACCACTTCGGCGTCCAACCAGGTGTGAAATATGATCACATCACACCTTCTGATTCAAAGTTAAGGTTTTGGAGAATGGGCAGGAAAGTGCTTGAGCAGAGGAAAATGATGTTGGCACATCTGACCTTTGATCTGCTCATTTTAAAATGTCAATGCTTTGTTATTTTATCCTATTTTTATCCCATTAAACCGTTTTAGGAAATATCTTCTCATAATAGTAAGTATTTTTAAGGTCATCCAATGAAACATTTTTGCTAGTATAGGGGAAGGAACACACACACAGCGTGGCTGCAGTCAGATGAACGGAATACATTGTTGCTTCCACCACAGCTGTCATCAGAGGCGTAAAAATCAAATGTCTACACACACGCTCTTGACATCCTCGAACGTGAAGTTAACCAGGAGTATGTAGCTTGTAATCTAACCGACTTTAATAAAAACGTTCAATAAGTGAAAGTGAAACCTGAACGAATCAAATGTCTTGTTAAAGACGTGCAAAAGAAAAAGAGAAAGACATTCTGAGTGTCCTTCACAGTACCAGCATGTAAGGACCTCGACACCAACAAAACATCTTAGTGAAAAAAACCTTTTCGCAGTCTTTCAATCGCATGCTGTGTCTGAAATAACGTTGGACTGCACATTGCAACACTGACAGGTGTGGTTGTGTGCACTAAATACGTTCCTGGTGTTCTCAGAAACAGTCAGAGTTTATTCTACACTGTGCACCTCTATCTCCATTGCAACCACGTTGGCAATGTAGGCAAGGGGGCACACGAAAAAATGACCAGCCTTTGGGGAAGTCATTGCCCTGCCAGCACACCCCTCAGAGCTAAAGCTAATCAGCTAGCATTCATAGTTTTACCTGAAATATGTTTAGTTTGACAAAAGACATCAGACATGTGGTCTGATGCATGTAAAGCTGCTCATAATCACAAAATGTTGCTGGTCGCGTTGAGTCAAACGTTGCTGCAGGCAATTCTGAAAAAAAACGCAAAGATGCAATGTTCAGTTTAATCCAAAAGTGTCCCTGTTGGACTGAATTCACTACAAAAAAGGGTACGCAGAAAGCGGTCTAAATATGAGCGAACAAAAGATGTATCATAACTCACAGACAAGGTGCCTGTGAGACTCAAAGATCCTCACTAGTATGCTACATTATCAAATTCAATCAATAAGATTCCTGGAAGGATATGCAAAGACTCAGAATACACTTCTGTGCATCTTCTACAGCCTCAGAGAACCCAAAGGATCTGGTTGTATGTGAAAGATGGTTCTGACCAAAGTTTCATATTGGTGCAGGATAAATGCATGTTGAAATGATATGAAGGATATTCTTGATAGTGAGACAAAAATAATGTCACTGCCTTTGATTGTTCCTTTAGATTTTTTAATTAATGGAAGGAGTTTCATGCTTCTCTGCTGCTTGATTTCAGACATATTTTAAGTTTTCAACCTACTTTGTGCTATAGACATTCGATTAACTAAGCTTCAATAAAAGAACCTTTGTTTCTTTGTTTGAAGTCAACAATTTACATAATGCTTGCTTTGCTTTTGCCAACACTATTAAGATGGTGGTGTACAGTAGCTTGGCAAGTCACAAGACTCAAGATCAATGGAGAAAAAAAAAAGAACAGATCAAGGTCAAGCCTAAGTTTCACATTCCACCACTACCCATAGCGCAGAATGTGAATGTACAGTTCCTCACAAAGTTAATGAAAACTGACATTTTTACTCACTTGAAACATTTTCTCACAAGTCAACTCGGCTGTGTTTTAACAATATCTTTTAAATCTGAAAATGCACCTTTTGGAGAGCTTTGCAAGGTCACATGCTCCTGATTTGGCATTCTGTTTGTACAAATGCGTAAGGG